GTGCTCAAAACTGTCATCAGAATGTCCAGGGAGCCCAGACATAGGCTGTGACAGATGCTGGTCTAGCAGCCACTTTCTCTTCAGGTAAACAAGGTCTGTGTGAGTATTTTACTTGTGATTTTTAAAGCTTTAGGTTTGGAGAACACTGTGGGTATCGTGTGGAGCTCCCACGGACGCCCATTCAGTCCTTGTGTCCACAGGGCGCCAGGGTGGGTATTTTACCAGTCAGGGTTGTAGCATTGTTCAGGTGTCCCTGTGTCCAAGCACACACCCAGGTATGCTGATGACTCATGGGGAGTCGGTGTTGATGCTCAGAGGATGTAAGGTTGTGCTTCTCCCTAGTTTTGGGCCCCCAGGCGCCTGGCATGTCACCTGGAGCCTCCTCTGCTCAGAGATGCCCTTCAGGTCACACTCAGCCACAGAACTGCCCAGACAAGGACCATGTTGTAGGAGCCAGGCCTTGACAGGGCAGCGTGTAGTTGGTGGCTCCCACTGGGATCCAGGGGGCATTGCACGTGGCCCCATGGCACCGTGCTCCCCGTGTGGCCGGGGCACAGCATCCAGTCCTGGCCCTGTTAGTTTCCTCTGGGCTGCGGGACTCCTCACTCTGCTGCCTGTGATGTCTTTACGTTCATTATTGGCGCGTTCATTTGTGAGCAAGGGTTTGTGGAATGCCCCTCGTGCTGTGTTTTCCTCACGAGGTCATGGGAGAGAAGTGTGTGGAAGTACGTGTGCATCCTTTTAAGATCCAGCCAGGGGAGGAAGGGAGGAAATGTGACGGCTGCTCGCCTGCGCAGGTGTTGCACAAGGAGCCAGGGGCCTCAGGCAGAGGCAGCCAGCGCGTCCTCAGAGTGCCTCACGCTTTTGCATCATGCGTCACAGTCACTGAGCGTATCACTTCTGGAGACGGGATGCAGCGTATTGACTTCCTGTCATGCACTAGGAAACTGAGGCTCAAGGATGCCGCCAGAGTTGCCCGGGGTCAGAAGTGCGCTGTTGGTTGGCTGGTTGGCTGGTGCACTGTCTTGGGGGTTGTAGAAGCTTTAGCGGATGGTGAAAAACATTTGCACAGTGCAGGCCTGGGGCGGATGACCAGCCTTTCTGCCCCACATCTGCTTTGTGAGCAGCCAGTCTTCCGTACGCTGTCCCAGCCCTCCTTCCCGACGTTACCAAGTATTGGGGTGTTGGGTTACAACAAGACAGGTGAAAGTGCGGCCTGCCGAGTGCAGGTGCCTCACCGTGTCCAGAGGAGCCATGTTTTTTTTTTCTGCCCCATCGTGGTGAAGTACCCACCCCAAGGAATCAGAAGCAGCACAGTTTCTGGGTCCCTGTGGGTCCCTTCGTGCAAAGGCTTGGCCCTGAGAGGTGCTGTTTGTAGCTGGGAGCTGGTCTACTCCAAGAGCCCGGGTCTGGAAAAATGGTACCTCAGTGGGTCTGGAGTGTCTGAGTTCTGAGAGACAAGCCCCCAGTTTGAGCAAGCCTCCTTCAGAATCTGGCAACCTGGCTTTTTGTAGAGGAAGTGTTGCGGTTCTGCTCAGCCCTGGTGATAATTACTGAATAAGTGATGCTGACAGGTGACATTGACAAACCCGACTTTTAGGAGTATTTTGGGGACTTGTTCTGTGCCTGACCATATGGTCTAGTAGCTGAAGTGATTTAGCATCGACAAGAAGTATTTCAGGAGGGGAGATTTAAGCAGCATGTTTACTTCTTCTTTCTTCCAGAGGACTATTTTTGTGCCTGTTACAAACATGGCACAAGCCGTGTGCTTGCTTCTCCCCCCTCACAGGCACATACCCATCACCAAGCAGATTCTGTCTTCCTTCCTCACAGTAGGAGAGCACAGTGCCTGATCCCTGGCCTAGGCACATGGGTGTGAGCACAGGCCTTCACCATGTGGAGTCATTAGGGCATTTCTGTGCTGCCATCTAGATGTGCTGTTAGCATCAATAGCCATGGTCACTGGCTATTGTGAAGCCAGTGAGGGTGGGGCCTACTCCATCTGCCACCAGGTGTTTACCACACTGCCAGGGGTACACAGAAGGGATGTGGGCCTAACCACTGAGCCATCTCTCCAGCCTGGGCCATTCCTCTATACTGCGTCTTCATCTTGGCCACCTGGAGAGGCCTGGCCTCCTCACAGAGGAGTTTCTAGAACAGCCTCAAAGCACCTCTGTCTGCTGTGTCTTCTGTTTGTTTGGGGCTACCAACATGCCTTTCTCCTTCTCCTTTCTCTCCCATCAGGCTCCCCTGACATCTACCTCTGTACACAGGGCACAACCTTTCCCAGAGCCCTCCCAGAGTGCCTTCCAGATTCCGTGCCCTTGCCAAGTCCATACAGCCAGGGCATGCATCTTGTGCCTGTCACAACTGATGGGCTTGGGGGAGCGAGGGGCAGAGGTGTCTGGGAGGCTGAGCAGCAGCCCGGGAGTCTGACCCGCCTCCTGTGTTGGTCAGTAAGCCTGTCACTGTAGCCCTGCGTACTCTAGGATGTGGGCTGCCCACATCCCTCCACTTCGGTGGTTTAGTTGGTGGAGAGGGAAACTACCCTGTGGTAAGTGGTGATTAATATTTACTATTGATATATCTTCTGGTAACGCTGCTGTTAATCCTAAACCAGCTGTATACCCAAATCACCACACAGAGAGTGGGTTTATTTACTTAATCTAGAGCACAATGCTGGGCAATAGTTACTGCCTTCTAAACCTCAAAGCCCTCATAGTTTCCTAACATTTAGATTTCCCACATTATACTTGCTTTTTGTGAAATCTTAGGTCTGGTTCATTCTCTCCAAGATCCCTCTCCCGCTAGGCTCTCCTCTCTCTTCCTCGCCCTTTCTCCTCCCACTCATTTCCTGCCCTCTGGCTCCTCCCCTTGCTCAACATTGTGTCTAGTTGCTTTATTTTGGCCTGTTCACACACAGTTGAGACAGGATGCTTAGAATGAGTATCACAATGCAATATCCAGATTGAAACGGGGGTGGGGGGAGAAATCAGCTTTGAATGAACAAGGGTAAGGTGTATACATTTCAAAAGAGCATTTTACCAACACTACCCTTTAGGAGGTGACACTACTGGTGGAGGCCAGTAGATGCCTGGCCTCCACCCCTTCAGGCTCTGGGTTCAGAGTGGGCCTCTGCTTGGCCCTTGACAGGAGGGCTGGTGATGGCTGTCCTGGGTGTGGTGTTCACACTCTTTCTCCTTCTCACTGTTGGGGATTTTGAGTGGAAGGCCATTGCAAAGCCATCCTATTTGATCCTCAGAAAAGTACTTTTGAGGTTTAATGACATGTTCAGAATGAGGCTCTTGCCATTTGCTTGACAGAGGGTTAGGGTTGGGGGCAGCTTCTGGCAGCTGGGTGACCTCTGTAATTGAAACCTCCAGTCATGTGAGTGAGGCAGGAGGACTGCCAGTTTGTTGCTGGCCCAGCCCTGGCTGGTACACGGTGGGTGTTCCCCAGTAGGGCACGGCCTCAGGACCCTGCCCCAGCAGGTGCCCTGAGCTGTCTCATACATACTGCCATCTTGCACTCTGCTCATCCACCACCTCCAGAATTAGGGTTGTGGTAGATGCAGCAGACGGGGATGGGAAGATGTGGCTGGGTGGGGAGAAAGCATGTTCTGAGGAAAATGCTGGGAGGTGACCTGGATGTGTTGATTACGTGACTACCGGGACTAGGACTTGATTGAAGCCACCAGCTCCTGAGAGCAACAGCGTTCTTACTTAAGGTGAGATCGCTTGATCCAGGAGCCAGAGTGTTTGAGAGGTCGGGTGCCCTTGTGGGAGGGAAGTATTATTAGTCAGAAAGTGTGACAAACCAGCTATGAAATAGAAATGGCTCTTAATTGAAAGCTGCTGGTTAGTGCCTAACTGGTCCTTTTGCTGCAGAGCCTCCGTCCATCAGCACAGTCTGCTACTGTGTGTCTAGGGTCACTGCACAGTCACCACCAGTGGTGGCTGACAGTGTATTCATAACCCAATAATCAGAAGAGCTGATTACAAGTGTCGTTTTAGAATCTTCTGGCTGCAAGAAAAATTGTAAATAGGGTCCAGGTGCATGTCCAAACGTCTGTCACTGTGTGGAGCAAGAAGTGCCGTAGTTGGTGGAGGCTGAGCAGCGGTGGCTGGCCAGCCAGTCTGCCTGCGATGTGGCTTGGAGTGAGGGGCTCGGGGTCTGTCCATCTGTCTGTCTGTCTCTCTCCCCACCAACGCATGCCCTTCCTGTGATAAAGGCAGCCATATCACTCCAAGCAGGAGGCAGGGGGCGAAGGGAAGGCTGCAGAGGGCAGAGGAGGACAGGATGGCTTACCCTTAAATGCAGATTGCAGGCTGAGCAAGTGACACACAGCAAACCACATACAGCAGGCCAGTCCAGGGTGTGGTCCGTGGAAAGCAGGCTGGGCCGCCGGGAAGGTTCCCACTGCCAGCTTCCTCCTCTGCTCAGGAGGTGGCCTTCCACAAGGCTGCCCACAGGAGGTCTCTTGTTTGGGTTATGCACAGAAACACTTTTTCCCACACCAATCAGAGTGAAGTGGTAGAACAAGCATTAAGCTGTTGTGGCTGTTACTTAGTTTGATTAATGTTGATAAATGACAGCCAATTGCTTGCCCAGATGGGTGGGATAAATTCCACCAGAGCTTCCATCTTACCCTGCAGCCTGGCTCCCTGGCAATGCCCTGTGTGCTCCTGGTATACTGTCAGTAGGATGAATTGGCCCTCTAACATCTTAGGAGCTTAGAGGGCCCCAACCTTGAGATTTCGCAGAGCCTACCTTGGTTCCATGACTCAGCTGACACAACAGTGCTGTGCCAGCACCTGGTTGCTGCTGTCCTCATTAGAGTCCTGCAGAGATACAGTCTGGACCCCCTGGGTGCTTGTGAAGATTTCCCTGCCCACTGTTGAGTCCCCTGGAGTGATGGTGTCACAAGACACAGCCTTTGAAGTGCTAACGTGGGTGAGTCAGCCGAGCTACACAACTCACTCAGTGTCTCTGTTTCTCAGGATGACTGGAATGACATCAACCCCATTAAAAAGAAAGATCTTCACCACAGCAATGGAGATGAGAAAGCCAAGAGCGTGGAGACCCTCCCTCCAGGTACTGTATCTGAGGCCAGTCCTTCCTGGCCCCTGACTGTGGATGGATGGAATGTAGCCCTGGGAGCAGTGACGGGCAGATAATGATTACTTAAGCTACTGGGTGCTGCCCAGGAACACACTTCTGCTTTTCCTGTCAGGACGTTGGTGGGTGGTCAGCAGAATGTATTGAAATAGAAGAAGGGCTGGAGAGATGGCTCAGACGTTAAGAGCATTGTCTGTTCTTCCAGAGGTTCTGAGTTCTTGAGTTCTATTCCCAGCAACCACGTGGTGGCTCACAACCATCTGTAATGAGATCTGGCGCCCTCTGCTGGCGTGCAGGTGTACATGCAGATAAAGTACTGTACACGTAGAATAAACCTTTTCTAAAAAAAGAAAGAGAAAACAGAATAAAGTATAAACAATAGGATCTAAAGTTTTAGTTCATGAAAAAAATTCAAATGACTTGATTTTTTTGAAGGAGTTTTAGCTTCATAGCAAAATTGGCAAAAGATTGAGAATGTTCCCATGCCACAGTGTTCCTCCTCCACACCCATCTATGTCCTCACAGAATGGGACACTGGGAGTAAGTTGTGAACTACAGTTACTTAGGCTCACCTCCAGAGTTCACAGTGAGGGGCGTTCTTGGTGGCAGGGCACATTCTGTGAGGTTTTTTTTTTCTTCTTATTTCTTTGTTTCCTTTTTTTTTTTAAGAAACTTGTGTGTATGTGCGTGCGTGCACGCGCTCTTGTGCATGTGTGCACACACACGACTGCATTCATACAAACATGGGAAGGGGGTGAGCACATGTGCAATGGTCAGAAGAGGGTGTTGGGTGTCCTCTGTCACCCTCACCCTCAGACTGTTCCTCTGAGGCGGGGTCTTTTCTTGAACCAGGGGCCACCCTCTCTAAGCAAGCCCCTGTGATTCCCCAGGCTCTGGCATCCTTGGTGCGTTGGATGCCTAACTTGTGTGAGTCCTCGTAGTTGCACAGTGCTCTTACCCACTTAAGTCGTCTCTCAAGCCCCACATCTTGTGAGTTCTGACATCACTTTTGTCAGAGATCCATTGAGTGTGAGTAGCGTGACCATCCTGGCCTGTGTTCTTTCTGCCTGCTCCTCCCTCTGCCTACCCCTCCACATCTCAGATCTTATTATTCTGTGCCACCTTTCCTGGGATGGCATATGATTGGATTAGAGTCTGCAGATTGGTGTCTTGTACTTTCCAATACGAATTTATTATGTGTGTGTTTGTGTGCCTGTGTGTGTGTCTGTGTGTCTGTGTCTGTGTCTATGGATGCCTGCAGAGACCAGAAGACGGTGTCAGGCCCCATGGTGGTGTAAGCCACGGTGTAGGTTCTGAGAACCCAGTTCCAGCCCTCTTCACGAGTGTGAAGCACCCTCAGCCCTGAGCTAGCCTCCGGCCCTCGCTGGCCAATTCTGACGTGTTGCCTGGATATACCGCAGTTATTTTTGCATTCACTTGCTGAATGGTGTCTTGGTCGCTTCCACGTTTCGCCAGTTGTGAATAAAGCCACTGTATAAATAGTGACAGTGCAGAACATAGCTTTTGTTCCAAAGGGAGTAAGCAGTGGTTGAGTCTGAGTCAAAATGAGTTACCACGGCCTGAAAACATGGATTTGGGTTGCCCTAAAGGAGATTGTGAGATTTTATAATTGTGGAAAAGAAGGGAGGTGTTCCCCAAACCCACCAGTGAGGGTAGCTGGAGGCGGTTCAGCAAAGCGGGCACCTCCAAGGGTGTCAGGTGCGGTTTTCACATGGAGGGGTTGGAACGTGGCTGTGGGGAGACTAAAGGCAGCAAGACATGATTTGGGCTATAGATCTGCAACATTTTTTAATGTTACTTCCTAGAATTTTACTTAAGTCTGTAATCCCTTTTGAGGTAGTTTTTGTGGAAGATGGAAGGGTCTGTCTAGATTGACTTGCTATTGGGTGTCTGTTGAAAGTTTACTTTTTCACTAAAGTGAAAAAGGTGGCACATGCCTTTAATCCTAGCACTTGGGAGGCAGAGGCAGATGGACCTCTGATTTTGAGGCCAGCCTGGTGTACAGAGTGAGTTCCAGGACAGCCAGGGCTACACCAAGAAACCCTGTCTCAGAAAGAAATAACAACAAAACAAACAAACAAAAAGGGATGGATTGAGAGCATGGAGGGAAAGAAGAACCTCAGAGAAGAAACTGCCGAGCTGAGTAACTCCAGTTCAAATCCCAGTGAAGGAGTTAAAGAAGATTGCGCCAACTCCATGGAGCCTCCCAGATCATTTGGTAAATGTCTGCTATCATCTCCTGTGAGCAACGCCAGAATTACAAGGATGACTTCGGTGCTAAGTGTGATGAGAAAGGAGCTGCATGCCTGGATGGAAACTGCAGCCTCGGGATTTATTAAACCAGGCGCACAGTGGAAACACCTTTCTCCAGCCTAGAGTGAATACCACAGCGCTCATGAGGACCTACATTACCATGAAGAAAAATGCTGATGCAAGTGAGCTCTGAACAAGCTGGCTCACGTCAAAAGACCAGTAGGTGAACTTGACCTGCAGCAAGCAGAGTCCTGGCACCAGAGCTCTGCCTGGACCAGCAGATGGGAATAAACTGAAGCCCATTTATTTCAGATTCCCGATGAGTTGCTTTGGACCAGTGGTTCTCAACCTTCCTGGCTGGGACCCTTTAATACCTCACGCTGTGCTGACTGCCAGCTGTGAAAGTTTCCCCTTGCTACTTCAAAACTGTACTTTTGCTGCTGTTACGAATCATAACATAAATACCTGGTAGGCAGGACATTGTGACCCGTGAAAGGGTTGGTGTTGTATTTTGTATTTACTGTTAATTATCTTTTAGTATTGCTGCTGTTAGTCCTAAGCAGCTGTATACCCAAATCACCACACAGAGACTGGGATTTATTTAATTAACCTAGAACACAATGCTGGGCAATAGTTAGTCCATCCTAAACCTCCAAGCCCGCATAGTTTCCTAACATTTAGATTTCCCACATTATACTTGCTTTTAGTGATATCTTAGGTCCAGCCCATCTCTCAACGTCCTCCAAGATCTCTCTCCCAGCTCTGCTCCCAGTTCTCTTCTCCCTTCTCCCTCCTCTGCCTCCCACCTTCCTGTCCTCTGGCTCCTCCCTCTCTTCCTGCTTCCTTTCCCTTGCTCAACATTGTGGCTAGTTGCTTTATTTTGGCATGTTTACACAAAGTTAAGACAGGTGATGCAATGTCGGGATTGAAACCAGAGAGTGGGGGAGAGAAATCAGCATTTGAATGAACAAGAGTAAATTATATACATTCCAAAAGAACATTATACCGATAGGTTGGTCAGCCTCCGGGGGGTTGAGACCCACAGGCTGAGATCCACTGCTCTGGATTACAAAAGATACGCTTTTGTGTTTTGGAAGTTTCCATTTTAGTAAACTTGAATTACTTCCCCCCATTTTACTTTTTCTGGCCCCCTTCCCTCTCTCAAGGCTTGTTCACTAACAGAAACACTTTTAGATATTGGGCATCCAGTATCTATTTCTTCAAATCAAATTTTTCTTGAAAACTTGTGTTTGATTATTAGAGATTACTGGGATGCAGTGTTCACACTTATGTTGTGCGTGTGTTTAGAACAAAACAATACAGTAATGTGCAAGGGGAAATGCTTTTGGATAAACATAGCCTGTATTCTGACCTTTGGTAATTTGAACTGTTTGCCTTAGTGGTAGAATGTTTAGATGTTTGCACAAAATAAAAAAAACAAAAATCAAAACATTGTTTTGGAGGATTAAAAATAGAAGGTTGTGTGAATGTGTGTGGTTTCCTGTATATGTGCATGTGGACCGACTGGCTCTACAGTGCTAGATCTGCCCTGTAAGTTAAGCCCCGCTGCAATGGTCACCCGAGTGTTTGCTAGCTGCATGCATTGCGTGGATAACACTGCTTTCCAGTGACAACAGCCATGGAAGCGCACTGTGGTTACCAGCGCCAGAACACGTTTGTGTGTTCTCGAATGTCTGCAGAGCCACTGTGTGTGTGAGCTGCCTAAAGAGAAGAAGGTGCCGCTCTCAGCCTGCTGGGCGCACAGGCTAAACAACTGAGGAGTGATAGAATATGCCGTCGTTTGTTTGTTTGTTTCTTTCTTTCTTCATTTCTTTCCGTCAAATTGCTGCTTCTGTTGTGGAAGACACAAACATTTCCATTTCAGCAGTTTGTCAGCTTTGTTAATGTTGGGCCAAAAAAAAAAAAAAAAAAAAAAACAAAAACCATGTTATAAAAAAATGAAACATCTATAGCTTTTGGGGCAACAAAAGTTAAATGTGTGGGTACCCTATTTATATACTGCTATAAAGTATTTTTTGAAGAAAGATGCGCAGCAAGCCTATTACCTACATCAGATTTTTTCATCCTAGATACTAGGAATATAAAAATGAGTAGATACATTTAACCATAGCATTCTGATTCATTCATTAAACAGCACAAACTTGGGCTGGAGAGATGGCTCAGAGGTTAAGAGCACTGGCTGTTCTTCCAAGGGTCCTGAGTTCAATTCCCAGCACCGCATGGTGGCTCACAACTATCTATAGTGAGATCTGGTGCCCTCTCTGGCACGTGGGCACACATGCAGGCAGAATACTGTGTAAATAATAAATATAAAGTATTAAAAAATAACTACAAACAAAATTTCTAAAAAAACAAAACAAAAAAGCAGAAACTTTGGTTTCATGGAGTTTATCTGTTAATGTTTATTTAAACTATCACTTGCCAGCTGGCTGTAGTGGCGCACGCCTGTAATCCCAGCTCTCGAGGCAGGTGGATCTCTTTGAGTTCAAGGCCAGCCTGGTCTACAAATTAAGTTCTGGACAGCCAAGGCTACACACAGAAACCTTGTCTCAAAAACAAAAACAAAAAATAAAAAACCAACAAACAAAACAAACTACCATCACTTATCTTGCCATGTGAGAACATAAGTTATGTGGTCAAAGTATAAGGATTTTGAACTAGTGTTGATTCAAGTTCTGTTG